TGACTGGTCGGCAGACCGCCGACCGGTCGGCCCTACTGGTCGGCTGCAATACGGTCGGCGGTCGGCAGGGATGCAACCATGCCTCTCATAAAACGTACGGTCATTATAGCTGTACTTAGACTGAAACATACCCCAAATACAGCTCATTATGACCTGTACTTAGACTGAAACATACCCCAAATACAGCTATAATGACCGTACATTGTATTCGGGGCAACAAGGTAGGGACCAGTCACGGTTTCAGTTTCAAAATGCAGTCAAGGCAAAATGCAGAAAATGCTGAATGTATACAAGCTACCTTTAGCGTCCGGTGGGGGTGTGTTATGTTTGAGGGATGCCTGGAATGCATTTTGAAACTGTTTTCGTGACTGCGCAAAAATTGCCCCTATTTTTTTCAAACTACAACTACCACAGTGATATGCAGACATGGATATTCGAAAAAGGGAAGTTCTCGATGCAACACTCGGCGCAGCACCAATGGCCATAGCTCGGTTGGCACACCCATGAACTGTTGAAACACAGACCTGAGTTCAAATCCAGTTGAACCTAGACCAGTGATATAAAGTAATTTTGAATTGCTTGGGGCCGGTCAGTTCGCCATCTCAAGGCCGTTGCACTTGGGCAAAAAAAAAAAAAAAAAGAAACACAATCACAAAACAGACAGGACTGACCATATCCGCAGAACAGTTGCTGCAACTATCCTCTCCCCGAATAAAACCTACAGTCATTGTGCCTGTATTTGGCACAACCTTCAGTCTGGATAACGACAATAATGACTGTATGTTACTCTTACTCGGCGTAAGCTGGTAGCACAGTGATCACACGAGGATAACAGAGCACGCCAGAACAGTTCCTACAACTAACATGCTGGTAGGTCTACTTCCTTCCCCCGACTAGAACAAATGGTCATTCTATTTATAGCCGTATTCGGCGCACCTTTCAGTCCCGCTACGGCGATAATCACCGTACAATGCGTACATTCTATTCGGGAGAATAGGGTTGCTGCAAAAGAAGGTGCATCCCAGGTAAGCAAGTAATCACAGTCTCGTGTCGCCGGCATCAAAGTGGACATGCCATTTCCTGTTGCAGAGGCTGCGTACAATTGGGAAAAAGGAGCCGCTGCCCTTTTCAAATATGGCACCTGAAACCACTCCACTGCAGCAAAGGTCTGAAAGACGAAATGTCCACGGTGTCACCGCGATGGTACGCTTTCCTGCTCGGGCGAAGAAAAAAAGCAGAAATCAGCCGTGTGCTTTCTGTGCAGCAGGAAGGGGAAGGGCTGTCTCTTATACACATCTAGATGTGTATAAGAGACCGGTGTCACCGCGATGGTACGCTTTCCTGCTCGGGCGAAGAAAAAAAGCAGAAATCAGCCGTGTGCTTTCTGTGCAGCAGGAAGGGGAAGGGGATCTGCTTTGTGGTGGAGGGTATCCTTGACATGCAGAATTGAGTGAGCTATAGCACCAATGGCCCACAATACCCAGCAATGCCACGGTGTCAC